CGGCCCACCAGCCTGGCGGCAGCCACTCACTCCCTCAGTAGTCCTGCAGGTCCAATCTCTGGAGAACGGGCCAGGCACTGATGGACCGGTGCCGCTAGCATGGTCCCGACAGTGCCGCCAGCCTCTGGGAAGTCAGCCTTGGGCACCATAGCCGCTTCCCCTCCCTAGATGCTCCACAAGGAAGAAACTATATAAAAGTGGCTGCCAGGTGGCTCCTGATAACCAGCATGCACATCAGCAGGATGGGTCTGGATTCTGGGCCAGAAAGGGCATCCCACCGCCTCTGGGCTGATCATGTCCCAGCCCCACCCACAGCCCCCTCAGGCCAGATGCCAGATGCAGGGCTCATGGCTGGCAAGAGCTGCTGCAGCAGTGTGCGCCTCTCCTGATCAGAACTGACTGGGGGTGAGTCCGCAGCAGGTGCAGCAGGGGCCGGGATGAGCGGGAGCGGCAGGCAGCATTGGACTGCAGGTTTCTGTTCGATCCCTGCAGGCCACCACGAGGGACCCCACCCGTGCACAAATTCATGCACCGAGCCTCTAGTATAATATATAAAAACACTGATATAGACCTATTATTCTAAATCTTAAAAAATAGCAGAGGAAAGAATCTATTCTTTATATTTTTAAAGACTGATAACAAAGGGCATAAACTACAGGCATACCATAGCTTGAAATAAAATGTTCTTAGTAAATAATTTTTTATTAAGACCATATTGTGACTCTCTAAATTGTCCCAATCTTTGGTGCTTACTTTGCATTCCCCAGTATATTTCCATCTACAGGACACATCTGTGATTCTTTATAGGCTAGCAACACACTTTGTAATGGACAAATACTCAAATATTGTTGGAAAACCCCAGAATGTGTGTCATGAGCAATTTACTACCCCAATTTATTAGAAATCTGGAAAAGTATTTTATTCAACCACAGGTAAACTTATTTCAGACATTCAGATTTCAATTTCTTTTGATGTACTTTACCATCAATTGAGCTGTGTGTGTATGCGCCCGTGCACACACGTGTGTGCATGCGCATGTGTGTAGGCAGTACTTCCTACTTGTACAATTTTTAAAAATTAACTGCAGTGTTTTATGTACTAGTAACACACTAATATCTAAATATCTATCATTTTGGGGGCTGATTAAATAAACTAATTATAGCAGACCAACATGTTGAGCTATTAGTTAATTTTTTAAAAGAATGAGGCAGCTCTATATGCACAGATATAGAAATGGAAAAGGCAAGGTGCAGAACAGTGGGTATAATATGCTAGCATTTGTATGTGACTGAAAACATTGGTTGACCCCATGCAACATATAAGGGACAGGGGATTGGGATCAGACAAAGACTGACTTTTTGAACACCTCTTTGAATGAGTTAATGTTTTTCAACCAGGTTCATAAAAGATTTTTTTCTATTATAGTGATTATAAAGTTAAGGTTAATACTTTATAATTAGTTCTTATAATTTTTAATGAAAATTAAATGTTTAAAGAAACCTTGAAACTACTCTAATTTACCTAATATGTGGTTTCTTTACTGCATTTGCATCTGTGAGCTTTTATATATTGGGGATAAATGACTCATGGGAAGTTTTGGGTTACCACTGCTGGTAGAAGCATTGATACCATTTTCCTTGATCTGCCCTTTAGACAAGTAACACAACAGAGGTTATCCCAAGTAATTTGCTTTTTGGATATATTTTACATCTGCAAGCTTTAAAATGGTAGGTCCAAACTTCCTGCAAGAACAGACTGCATATTTACTTGAAGCTAACCTGGGTCTACTTAAGTTCATGTTCACTTTGGCTAAGCCAGGGTATGAGGGCAGGGTGTCTAGCAAAAAGACTTCCATTCCTGCCAATCTAACAGGAGCTTCTTTTTACTTTAAAGTTAACTGTTCTGTGTATAAAGCAGTATCTAGACATTTGATCTTAAATGGGAATGTTATCTGAAATGGTACCATCTTTTAGAAAACTTTAAAATTGCCATCTTATTTTTAGCCTTTGTGGGATGGGGAGAATGACTACAACAAAAGCTGATTAGTTCTGTTGCTACAGTATATTAATTCACATCTGGTTATCTCTACTGGGCAGAATTTTAGTTTTCTGAAGTAAAGGAATTTAGCAGAAGATAATCTCCTCTCAAATATAAAATCACACTTAAACATTCTAAATGAAATGGCAAGTGAGTCAATTATCCCAGAGCAGGTATAGGAGAAGCCACCTGCAGGTTATATAATGATAGAATGCATTCTAAAATCAAACCAACCTCAGTTCAACTCCAGCTCTGCTATCCGCAAGTGGTGACTTTGAGCAAGTTTCCTATCTATAAATGGGAATGCTGTCACTTCTTGTAGGACTGTTGAGAGGATTTAATGAGATAAAGCAAGAAAACACCTACCCTGGTATCAGTCACATATCATGCAAAAAAAAAAAAAAAAGAAAGAAAGAAAGGAAAGTGATTCAAGACCAGAATTGTACTCTTTGGCAGTCTTCAGGGACCAAATTCACAGAAAGTGGCTACATGCCCTCCTCCTTGCTTTGGTCTGGATGAAGACAACAGGCCTGTGTGATTTTTCAAAGAACTTCAAGAAAGGAAGTTGGAAGGGAACCAAGGTGGCGGCATAGGTAAACACCGGAGTTTGCTGCCTCGAACAACCACTTCAAAAATACAACCAAAAGACAGAACAGACATCATCCAGAACCACAGGAAGGCTGGCTGAGTGGAAGTTCTACAACTAGGAGGAAAGAGAAAAGCATACCAAGGCTCGGAGGAGGTGCAGTGCTGAAGTAAAATACTAAGGTGCAGAGTGCATGCGGAGTGGGCTGGTGGCTGAGGGCGTGCTTGTCGTTTTCAATCGGGAGGGAGTCTCAGGCTCTGAGCTCCAGTTCCGGGTGACTCTCTAGGGACCCAGACTCAAACGGGAGAGGCGGGACTGTCTGGCATCGGTCGGAACTCGAGGGAAGCTTTCTCTCCGAGGGGCTGGCAGCAATTACCAGGACATTGAGAAGCAGAGCCTCTGAGGGCAAGACTGAGAGCAGCCATAACTGCTAGCCCCGCCCTGTTGATCCCGTGGGACCCGCCCCGCCAAAGCCCTGCAGGGAGACTTTTGCTGGATAGCCTCAGGCAAAGGCTAGATTAGCACCTCCCTACAGATCCAGGAGCCAGGAAGCCCAGAGGTCAGAGTGGGACCATCCGGTTTGCAGCTCTGTGGAATCATAAAAGACACACTCAAGGGGCAGACTCAGTGAGCACCAAAGCCCCATCGAAGCAAGTCTAGCCCTAGAGGGGTGTCTCCAGCACAGAAGTTCTCCCACTGCAGACAACAGCTGATTCTCACAGCCAATTGGCCTGGAGGTCAATTCCTCACAGTGATAACTACAACATCAAGGCTTAATTACAACAAGACTGTGCACAAAGCCCACAAGGGGGTGCACCAAAAGTATCTACCTCAGGTAATTGGGACACTTAGCACAAAAAGGCACTCTATCGACACAGTGAAGCATAAAAAATGCCGAGACAAAGAAACAGGACACAAACGACAGAATTGGAGGAAAGCAAACTGCTGGATATAGAGTTCAAAACCACACTTTTAAGGTCTATAAAGAACTGTCTAGAAGCTGCTGATAAATTTAATAAGGCCCTCGAAAAGACTGGTGAGACCACCGATAAATGTAGTGAGATCTTCAAGAAGACTGGTGAGACCGCCGATAAATGTAGTGAGATCTTAAAGAAGACTGGTGAAACCCTCGATGTTGTGATAAAGAACCAACTAGAAATTAAACATACACTGACTGAAATAAAGAATATTATACAGACTCCCAACAGCAGACCAGAGGATTGCAAGAATCAAGTCAAAGATTTGAAATGCAAAGAAGCAAAAAACACCCAACTGGAAAAGCAAAATGAAAAAAGAATCCAAAAATATGAAGATAGTGTAAGGCGCCTCTGGGACAGTTTCAAGCGTACCAACATCCGAATTATAGGGGTGCCAGAAGAAGAGAGAGAGCAAGATATTGAAAACCTATTTGAAGAAATAATGACAGAAAACTTCCCCTACCTGGTGAAAGAAATAGACTTACAAGTCCAGGAAGCACAGAGAACCCCAAACAAAAGGAATCCAAAGAGGACCACACCAAGACACATCATAATTAAAATGCCAAGAGCAAAAGACAAAGAGAGAATCCTAAAAGCAGCAAGAGAAAGAAAATCAGTTCCTACAAGGGAGTACCCATACGACTGTCAGCTGATTTCTCAACAGAAACTTTGCAGGCCAGAAGGGAGTGGCAAGAAATATTCAAAGTGATGAATACCAAGAACCTACAACCAAGACTACTTTATCCAACAAAGCTATCATTCAGAAGTGAAGGCCAGATAAAGAGCTTCACAGATAAGAAAAAGCTAAAGGAGTTCATCACTACCAAACCAGTATTATATGAAATGCTGAAAGGTATCCTTTAAGAAGAGGAAGAAGAAGAAAAAGGTAAAAATACAAATTATGAACAACAAATACACATCTATCAACAAGTGAATCTAAAACTCAAGTGAATAAATAATCTGATGACAGTATGAACTGGTGATTGTAATAGAATCAGGGACATAGAAAGGGATTGGACTGACTATTCTTGGGGGGAGAAAGGGGTGTGGGGGTGAGGGAAGAGATTAGACAATAATCGTGCACCTATTGATGAGGACAGTGGGTGGGGAGTGAGGGTGGAGGGTGGGGTGGGAACTGGGTGGAGGGGAGTTATGGTGGGAAAAAAATATTTAATTAAAAAAAATTAAAGATTTAATTTAAAAAAAAAAAAAGAAAGGAAGTTGGAGGAGAGACCAGATCAGTAGTGTAAACCCTACCCTAGGGTGAACTGTAGCAAAGAGGATAAGTAATGCAGCCAAAGGCAGGAAAAAATGCTCTCTGGGTGCACAAATGGGCACCACGGCAAGCAGAGCCCCGTGATGGAACACTATATTCAACTCCAAGTCAAAGCATGGCTTACCAAGATTTGGCTGGGACACGGCCATGGGCCTCTGGGGCACTGGTGTGGAAGTGGCGGCAGGGTGGAGACTCATATGATTCAGGGGCTGATTCATCAACTTCCTAGGGTCTTGCCATGTGGTGATTTTTTCTATGTGACTAAAAGAAAGAAAACAATTATCTTTTTAATTTTCAGTATCATTATCTTTATCACCATCACCAATAACAGCACAACAGTCCATGACTTTGGCTCTTCTTCCCTTAGGACCTGCTTCCAAGCAGCTGACCCATTGTACTTGGTTTCATGCAAAGTCAGGTCGCTTACCTAGCATCCAAACAAGGCTACACTGGGGATTTTGCAGTGACTCTCTGAACACAAGCCCATCACTAAGATGCCAAAAGCCCCTCTGAAAGGTTTTCTGCCTTACTGGGGACAGACAAGCCCCAGCAGTCCTCACCACCGCCCAAGGATCCTGTGTTCCCAACTCCTCAGGGACATCACTGCCATCCAATTACTGGGACGCCACGGGGTGAGCTCCTATCCAGAAGCAGGGCCGCCAGCCCTCCCACACTCGCAAGGCTCATTTAATTGACACCTCCACCTGTCCTCAGCCAAAGACCAGGCCCTTGAAACCAACCTCATAACCATGACCTTACTGTGTCCTTACTAAGTAAGGCACTGTGAAGTCCATATGGGTGATACATAAAACCCTCGAGAGGCCTATGTTCTGCCATGCATGGTCACAACTGTGTGACTGAGCAAAGCAGCAGTAAGTACTAGTAAGTGCAGGAGGGCAGGAGCACCAGATTAAGGAGACAGCTCAACGCTGAGGCACAAAGGCCTCTGAGGGAGAAAACATTAGACTTTGAGTCACATACAACTACCACTGTTTGTCATTATGACTGTCTCAGAGAAAGTAGCACAACAAGCTTCTGCCTAGTTTCTGATATGTCCTTGGAAGGATGGACGGACCGGCTCTACCTACCTGGCTCCCAACCACATCACAAGTTATTCTGCGTGCCTTATATAAACCCCGCACCACTCCATGGCTCCATCTTTTTTAGAGAGGTTATTACATATTTCTTTTACAGATGAGCATATTCACAGCCTTTTTTTAGGAACTATATCAGAGATTTTCTATGTTTATCAAAGACAGAAAACTGATAGCAGAAACTGAATGCCAGCCCTTTGTTCCAGGCCTTACAATTGGCTGCACTCCCCAACCCAATTTGCAATGCCAACCCCTAGGCACTACTGACCCTGCTAGAAAAGGTCTTTTCTGTTGCTTGTTTCCTTATTTATTTATTTATTTATTTATTTATTTATTTATTTATTTATCTATTGATTGATTGATTGATTTCAGAGAGGAAAGGAGAGGGGGAGAGAGATAGAAACATCAATGATGAGAGAATCATTGATCGGTTGCCTCCTGCTGGGGATCGAGCACACAATCTGGGCATGTGCCCTTGGCCAGAATCCAACCCAGGATCCTTCAGTCTGCAGGCCAACGCTCTATCCACTGAGACAAACCAGCTAGGGCTACATTTATTTTTATTTTTAAATACATTTTTTATTAATTTCCGAAAGGAAGGGAGAGGGAGAGAGAGATAGAAACATCAATGATGAGGGAGAATCATTGATCAGCTGCCTCCTGCATGCCCCCTACTGGGGATTGAGCTTGCAACCCAGGCATGTGCCCTTCTTGGTTCGTAGGTCAAGGCTCAACCACTGAGCAATCGGCTGTTTCCTCACACTGAAATGCTGCCACTGGCCCTGCTAAAATTCCTCTTCAGATTTCCCCATCCTAGACTGGAAGCTATTGCCTTGGGGAACTCATCCATTGCCTTGATTGAAAACTTGGACGTATCCCAAGAATGCTTTTTTTTTCTTAAATATATTTTATTGATTTTTCACAGAGAGGAAGGTAGAGACATAGAGAATACAAACATCGATGAGAGAGAAACATCAATCAGCCGCCTCCTACACGCCCCCTACTGGGGATGTGCCCGTAACCAAGGTACATGCCCTTGACTGGAATCGAACCTGGGACCCTTCAGTGCGCAGGCTGACGCTCTATCCACTGAGCCAAACCGGTCAGAGTCCAAGAATACTTGAAATGAGTGTGAGTGTTAAAGAGGAGTTGCAGGGGAACAGCCTCGGAAAAGGTGGAACTGCTGCATCTCACTCCTGTAGGAGCATCAGCCGTCTTCAAGAAATCAATAATGCAGTGGGAGTAATAAAATCAAAGAACCAAAACTATCTTCTTAGCCCTGGCAGGTGGTTGGAATGTCATCCCCACCTACACCAAAAGATTGTGGGTTTGATTCTAAGTCAGGGCATATATGGGAGGCAACTGATTGATATTTCTCACACTGATGTTTCCCTCTCTCCCTCCTTTCCTCTCTCTCTCTAAAATCATTTAAAATACATATATATATCCTTGTGTGAGGATTAAAAAGAAAACTATCTTGTTAAGAAAAGAAACAAATAGAGAGGGACGAGATTGAACTAAAGAGATCAGAATCCATTACCTAAGCATAAAAAAAAATGAAAAAAGAACAATGGTTTTAGTTATGCCTTCAGTTTAACAATTGTAATTCTGTTTAAAGCTTTTCATGAAGTACTTTTGTCAACTTTTGGTTCTGTGGAAACTCACAGCCAGCCTGTGGGGAGGGGAGGGGAGGGGAGGGGAGGGTTGTAACAGGCCTTCAGAGTGAGAAAGCAATTGCTGAAGACTTCAAAGTTAACTAACTTGCTTTGACAAAGTAATTAGAACTAAGAAACCCTTTGACTAACTATTCTTTCAGCACCATACTATTGAAACTTGTTTCCCAAGGTAGGAAGGTCCTGCATAAATACTTTCCACTATAGTACCAGAGGGGAGGAATCATTCTCTCTATCAGGAGCCTTTCTTAGACCCTCCGACACCATGAATAATGATGCTGTGCGAGAACCAGTATAAGCACAGCCCGGTAAGATGGAGTGATGTACATGGAATGGTAGCAGACATTAAGGACACTACTGTGGTCAGACACACTCAGCTACCAGTCAATAGTAGGAATCATACAGGAGCTAGAGTGATACACTCCTAAATGCGGGTCCTCCATTCTGCCATTCTGAACAAGTGGGCTGTGAGTCAACAATACTGTAATAACTATGTATGGTGCCAGGTAGGTACTTGAAATACTGGGGAGTGGGGGGTGGCACTTTGTAAAGTTTATGATTGTCTAACCACTATGTTGTATACCTGCAACTAATACAAAATAATATTCAATGTAAACTGTAACTGAAAAATAAAATACATTTTTTAAATAAAAACATTAAAAAAAAAAAAAAGTGGGCTGTGGCTCCAGGATCTGGGGAGAGCTGTAAGACCCACTCTAGAGGTGGATGAGCCCAGAACTGCCCGTGAGCCTGGCCAGCCTCCACCCCTGGGACAGAGTGCAGGGCTTTCTGGACAAACACTCTGGCCCTCATTCCAATAGGTCTAATCCCAAAGATGTACAATGCGGCCATGGCTTCAAATGCCAAAACTCTCCCAGGACTGTGGGAGCCTCCGAAGCCCACTCTTCAAACTCTATACCCAGCCAAAGCTTTTAAAGGAGTTTTGTTCCCAGCGGATTTGTTAATTAAAAGTGTCACTCACAGTATTTTCCTCAAAGACTTGAGTAAAAGAGGGAGCCTTTCTTAAGTGAGCAATTCTAACTGCTCTGAAACAACTCTGAAAGCCACTCAAATTCTCAGCCACTACAGCCAGTGGACAGGACACCAGCTCTACCCTAAGGCTCGACTTATATGATGATGGCCAGAGTGGCCCAAGTCTGAATGCCAAATGCAAGGGCATTACTCACAAGTACTCATTAATACATTGCTTATTTTTTTTTCATTGCTTATTATTTAACCTGAAAACTAAATTCTACTATGGTTCAAATCATTTAGTGCCCCTCACCCCATTCCCATTCAGTCTTCCATGCTGCTGTCTCATCTCAGCTGCCTCTCTGAGTTCTGAGTCGTTCCCTTTCTCGTATTTGTCAGTGTAACCTTACTGCCTGCCAGGACCCACAGTTAGTCAGATTAATCCCCACTCCCCTACTATTCCCACCTCCTTCCTGATTTCACTCCCTTGCTGAATCTACTGCAAGAAAATATCCCTATGCCATCATTAAAAGTCTAATTTCTCTTCAAAATATCTATGTATCTATAAAAAAACATATATTTAAAAAGATAGCAAACTTTTATGCTGATATATGCAATGGCTCACTTTTGCTTTTTTTCTTATCTAAACTCTTCTGAACTTTCAAGTTTTTAACAGTGATTATCTATTGTTTTCATAACCAGTAAAAACAAAAATACTTATTAAATTACAAAAAGACAAAAGGGAAATGATGCATATCTGTCATCATGTGGCCAAAGTAAGAAGGGAAATGGAATCAATTACCGGCTCCATGTTGTTTATATAGAAAAAAAGAGAACCAGGTCCTACAAGAAAGAAAAACTGACACCCTCGACCCCTCCTCCAAAAAAAAGGATTTTTTTCCCCCTAGACTACAAAAAAAAATGCCTGCAGGGTTTCACTGAGGCCCTGGGTGTGTGGTGGGAAAGGCGTCTATAGCAAAGATAATGGGATGGTATTTTCCTGTTCCTTTGAGAGTCCCTCTGACCACTACTTCCCAGGTTGTCTTTTTCTTTCAGTCACAGAGAGAACAAAACAAATCCTGGTCTCCAACCACATCAGGAGCAAGTGCTTGAATCCCACCCAGGTCCAGAAGAGTTTCAGCCCTCAGGACCTTCAATTGTCCCGGGGTAAGAAAGGTGGGCACTTCTCTGGGAAGATATTTGTCTGGAAATTGTAGCTTATGGGAAATTGTGTTGTGTGAAATAATTTTTCTTTTGTGGATAAATATGTTCTTCAATAAACACAGAAACTTATTTTATTAAGGAAATTCTGTTTGGAGTTAAAATGTCATTGAAATCAGCCCTACCTGGTTTGGCTCTGTGGATAGAGCGTGGGCCCAGGACTGAAGGGACTCGGGTTCGATTCTTATCAAGGGCACGTGTGGGAGGCAACCAATTAATGCAAGGGTCCTCAAACTTTTTAAACAGGGGGCCAGTTCACTGTCCCTCAGACCGTTGGAGGGCCGGACTTATAGTTTAAAAA